TATACAAACAGGCGTTTCCCTCCATATTTCCCTAAACCTGACACGTACCGGAGGTATACATGAACTTACAGTGTCTGGCTCTAGTCAAACTCATCTTGAAACAATATCTAACAAGAAGCCATAGGTGACAATCCTCCGTGAAGTTTTATATATTTCAACAAAAACAAGCGTCAACGCCAGACCTACTGTAACCTGGTATCCAGTCTGATCGTGGTCGGGGCCGTAAGAGCTCGGGGCCGTAAGAGCTCTGGCCCGCCCGCCTCACATAGGTTTCCCGGTGTGTATTTCACGAGAGATTAATTAGCCCTCCTATCGTGTTGGGGGAAACCAAATCCCTAAGCATACTGTCTCTGATTAGCGTAACACTCCTACCGGGACGGTCTGTTGCACTGGGCGGGGGAAGCTCTTAGAGCCCCCGAAGACACAACCTGCCTGAACACCCCAATACCCCCAATCACGATCAGACTGGATACCAGGCTAGACCTACTGTGCAGACATTATGATTAGGCAACGGTTAATACAATGAGGGCGCGTCACAAGCATAAAACATAAAAAGACCTAAATCCATTACTGCTCCCAGGGCGTGTAAAGATACTGTGCTTCAAGTTCGAAGTTCATTTTAATTACACACACACAATCATTGCATTCACATAAAGATCGGACTATCATGGTCGTGTCACTAGTAACAAAGACAGCCCCACCGTCTTACCGTGCCTGTTACTTATTAAGCGCGACTGGAACAGACCAAATTCCAGCAACAGTTGCAGCGAGTGTCACTACCGCCGGTCAGATACCCGGGATATCTGCTTAGAGAACCTCTGCTACCAGACAACTGCCTAAACCTACGGCCTATTCCACAGGATTGTAAAAGTAGGGATGTTTTTAAAATATGCATTTACTTCAATATCAAAACAGTTACGGTAAAAATAAAAAGACGTGCATCATCCCGGACATAATGCCACACCACATGCGAAATTACACAGAAATGCGACGTACGGAAGAATGCGTTTTGGCTGCGAACATCTTCCAAAAAACTTGGCATCTCTTAAGCATGGGCAAAAACATCTGGAACCACTTATCAAAACCACCCCGTATCTGCATAAAGTTCCACCCCCCCCCACTGCTATTCCAAACAACGCGTTTTTCTGGACCATTCCAATTCGCCTCGTAATTGTAGGGGTGCGTCTGCAATATTACATTGACCGCGAAAGCAGCAACGGCAAAAATACACATTCGTGCATCAACACGGGCATGCCCGCAGACGGCGTATAAAATTGCGTGCCGATTACACAAAGAGAACCCAGTGTTTTGACTGCGAACATGAAAAATCAGCCGTTCACAACACTCCGTCCGGAGGTCCTGACCTCCTTCACGGAGTAATAAGTAATGTTACAGAGAAATTTACATTTCTAATGAGGTTAGACAAACATCTGACCCTTAAATATAGCCTGGGTGCCATCCTATTTATATGCTGGGGCTCCCATACTCGCTCTTTAAGAAACTATGGGAGCCCCGGTATACAGATAGGATGGCACCCAGGCTACCTTGAATATGTCTCCTCATTTATCTAATCAAAGAGAAGCGATGAAAAGTCGAATTTAGTTGATATGATATAGTGCTAGTTCTAGCTTGATCGTGTATACATGTTACCGTTCCTTTGTACTCGATATGTTTGTACAATAAAGGTCTTTATTCATTCATTCATTCATTCATTCATTCATTCATTCATTCATTCATTCATTCATTCATTCATTCATTCATTCATTCATTCATTCATTCATTCATTCATTCATTCATTCATTCATTCATTGTGCACACCAAGCGTCTGTCCAACTTATATAATAGTTCGCAGTGATATCTTTTGATACTCTCCAAGAAGAGGTTGTATAAAAAGGTAACGATCGTTACCTTTTTATACATGGCCGGTTTTTTGTCGCTACCCCGTCGGTGGCTGCCGACCTTCTCTGGCTAATGGATACTGCCTGGCCAATTTGATACTGTCTTTTTGCCACCGAAAGGGATCTGCTTGGAGGTTAATCTTTTGATACCTTTGTAGCTACCTGTTATGTTTTGAAGAAAACTAGGTCAGAGCATGCCTGCTTCAAATCATAGCTGCCCTTAGAATCTGAAAATTACTTTTCTGAGTCATCAAAGCGCACGCACGCACGCAAACATTTCCGCAATGGGAACAAGAGTTCTGTGATCTCATACCTCCACCACGTGACTGTGGAAATCTGGTTATGTTTTCTTTAGTGTTTGTTTGTTTGTTGTTAAACAAAAATCTATGCCTTGATTTATTTGGAGAAAAAAAAAAGAATAAGAAACTTAGCAAAAACAACAGCGATGCGAAAAACATAAAAAAAGTGTAAACATTGCTGGTTTGATTGAAGATAAATTGAAAGTATGGTTGACGTGTGCCCAATGTTGTGTTTTAAAACTGCCATTCACACCTCGACACGTGATAGCTTTGTATATTCGTAGCTCTCTCCGGCAGAAATATCCGGCAAGCGTTTGTTGTTTCCCACGTTTCCCTACACCTGACACATACCGGAGGTATAAACTTACGTCGTCTTGCTCTAGTGGACTAACTCATGTTGCAACAAGAAAGGTAACCGTTGCAAAGCAAATACATAGTGTCTAACCGTCACATGTCTTAGCGCAAAAAAAAACTAGCACCCTGTTTATTGTTTACTGAAACACATTGAATACATATATGGAAGCAGTCCGTCCAGTTCTGTCCTGCTACAAAATGTAACCCAACACCACAGGGTCTCTGCTACAGCACCAGTTACCATGGTGACAGACGTCTGGTCCAGATCATTGACTTTATTTATTTGAAGAAAAGGAAGAAGAGGAACAAGAAACAGACCAAAACACTCCCAGGTAAAGATAAGTAACTAAGAAGTAAATATACACCACGTGTCTTCATCTAGATTTTAAGTAAAGCGATTTTATTAAGATTTATGCAATTTTATTTTAAAGAATTTTATTACCGTTTATGCAATGTTCAACTGTTATGGCCGTCTACAACCGCACGTGTTAGCTAGGACATTAAACCAACCTTGACTACATAGATAATTTCAAAGCTAGATATGACGTTCGGAAAACTCGTCGATACTGTATTTTTCATAGAAGATGAACATCATTTTGTGCTAGAATATAGTTGTGTGCAACAATGAGATAATTGAACTGAATATAACGTTATATAACGTTATAATATATACTATTCCTTTGTACTTAATCCAGTGGGTATTGATGTGCACAAAATTAGGTCGCCATTCATTCAGTTGTGCAAACAACGCTTCAATCCAACGATTACAAGGTGATCTTTTGCTACCTTTGAAGCCGCCTGCTATGTTTTGAAGACTATAAGGTCAGTTCATGCCTGCTTCAAATCAAAGCTGTCCTTAGAAACTGCCAATTTCCTCATTTGATCACCCACTAAACCTCACGCACGCACGCACACACGGACTTAAACATTTCTGCTCACGTAACAACAGGTCAATAACCTTCCCCATGTGATGTTTCTTGTACGTATGGAAATTACCTAAATTGCATGATACATGTTTATGAGTTGAAATGCTCACTTGCGTCTGTCACAAGTATGAAATCTATTTACACGTGTTGTGTAATCCAACACCACAGGGTGTCTGCCACAGCACCAGTTACCATGGAGACAGACGTCTGGTCCAAGTCATTGACTTTAGTTGTTTGGAACGTAAGAAGAAGAAGAAACTGAGCAAAAACTAAATGTTTCCTCCTGCTAAGGTAATATTATAGTATTGGGTAATAATAATGTAACCCAACACCACTGGGTTTCTGCCACAACAACAGTTACCATGGTGACAGACGTCTGGTCCAGGCCATTGACTTAACTTGTTTGGAACGGAAGAAGAAGAAACTGAGCAAAAACCAAATGTTTGCTCCTGCGTAGGAAATACTATAGTAAGGTAATAATAATGTAACCCAACACCACAGGGTGTCTGCCACAACACCAGTTACCATGGAGACAGACGTCCGGTCCAGGTCATTGACTTTACGTGTTTGGAACGGAAAAAGAAGAAGAAGAAACTGAGCAAAAACACAATGTTTCCTCCTGCGTAGGTAATACTATAGTAAAGTAATAATAATGTAACCCAACACCACTGTTTCTGCTACAGCACCAGTTACCATGGTGACAGACGTCTGGTCCAGGTCATTGACTTTACTTGTTTGTAACGGAAGAAGAAGAAGAAACTGAGCAAAAACCAAATGTTTCCTCCTGCGTAGGTAATACTATAGTAAAGTAATAATAATAATGTAAGCCAACACCACAGGGTGTCTGCTAAAACACCAGTTACCATGGTGACAGACGTCTGGTCCAAGTCAAAACAATATGCCCAGAGCTCCCTAAACTGCCTCAACCGAGTTCAAAAGCGCTTACAAAATCTTGTTGGGAGTGACCTGTTCGCCACCCTACAACCACTCTCACATAGGCGTAACGTTGCAAGCCTTGCGTTATTTTATCGCTTCTTCCGCGGCAAATGCTCCGTGGAACTTCATTCGCTAGTGCCCCCACTTCGAAAATTCTCAACAAGGACACGTCTTGCCACTTCCACCGAAGCAAATCACCCTTTCTTCCTCCATTCAACACCTCTTAGGAGGAAGTTCCACGCTGAAAGCTTCTTTCCAAGAACAATATCACTTTGGAATCAGCTACCTCGTGATTAAGTTATAAGCATAACCTTAAACTTTTCAAGTCTATTAAGGTCAACAAACATCTGTCCTCACTGGCTGTTCTGTAATCCAAAACATTTTAATTGGCTCCAATGAGCCTTGTTTTGTGGTGACCCATGAAGTAAATTAATATATATATATATGTATGTTTTCCTACTGCGAAGGTAAGCATAACAACCAACCATCTAAGTGTGAGAGTAACGTATCAATAAAAGAATGTAAGACGTAATACAATCGCCACACTTAGAGGCTGGGGAGGTCCAGGAGAAATGTACGGTACTTACAGAGCGTGTAACGCCAGCTGGGACCCGATGGGACCGGGAAGTCTCTCCAGCTTGTCTCGCTCCAGAAACCTGCCGTGGAGACAGAAAAGACGTTACAACCGGATAAAAACAACAGAAGGTTCCTTCACAGCTTCATGCAGAATTTAAGGGCATGTTGATTTGATTATGGATGACATTCTTTGGGAACCCCAAAACTGATGCAAATAGAAAATGTTTGGCAAAAAAATTGCTTTCATTATCAAATCTACGAGGTCATGAAGGTTGAACAAATGACTAAACACACAGAGTATGGTATAGCGAATAATAGACTCTTCGTTTTCATTCTTCACATTTTCCTCTTTTCCTTTGGAATTGATTTTGGCATTCTATGACATTATCGTTTTCTAATATTTCTTTTACAATTTACGGCATATATTTGCTCATTTTGTAGCTGCTTTGTACGATTTACAGTGGAAACCTTTTTTTGTATGGAAACGGGCGAAAATTCATGCGCGCGCGGATGTCATCCGTACAATCAAATCAACATGGGCTAACTGACAGTTACTTACTACTGAGAAATCAGGGCGCACAGCAAGATCCCTTGGAGACAACGTGTGTTGATTGCTTAGGTCTCACGAACCTTGTATGTATTATAAGAACATTGGGAATGCGGGAAATTTTAATAGCTACAGAATGAAAGATTCCAGTTTGGTATGTGTGCATTCTGAACGCAATCATGGTCTTACCTAGGTCTGTCGAACCTATATATAGTACAGGATCCAATATCTAAAAGAGGCCTAGAATGTGATTTCGTGGCACCCACTTCACAGAAAAGGTTTGACCTTATTTTGTGGTAGAGGGGCCTTTACCACATCACCCAGTATGATTTTTATGCTCAAATTGTGGTATCACTTTTTTCTACGGGCCCGTAAAGGTGTAACACTTGAATAGAACAAGCGAAAAAAGGCACATTTTCAAGGGGGACGGGCAGAAAATTAAATATCAACGTTTTTTGATGAAAATTGATAGGCTGATACAACTTTTGATGGGGATAACAAAAATAGAAGAACATTGAAAATGCAGGAAAGTTTTAAGTTACAACAGTACGATTGTTGGTTAGCTAGGAAATTGAAGATTCCAGTTCTTTATGTGTAAATTTTGAATGAAATCATGGTTTGCAAAATTATTGTTATTTCTTTTATCTTAATGTCATATCATCATTAAATCTATTCTAGTCTGTCCTATAGTAAAACCTACAGGTGGACGACCACTCCTTCGAGTAAGGCCTGTCATGTGGTACAGTTTCAGTTTCCTAGCAAAATCACAATTTCGTGTGATGTAACGATAGAGCGTTCGGTTCGGAACCAAGAGGTCCCGAGTTCGAATCCTGCCATGCCACCGAGCTTGTTTCCTTTGAAAAGGCACTTTACACGATTTTCCCCACTCAACCCAGGTGAAAATGAGTATGTCTGTTATCCGTTCATGCGTTTGTTTTCTGCGTTGGTGGTATCATAAAATAAGTTGAAGAAAACGTCACCATGTCTTGTGGTAAATGTTGGAATAAAACTAACACATTGATTTAATATACCCAGGTACACATACACTCCAGCGAAGAAGAGCAATCTTCATTGACGCCACATTATGTACTTTACTTCTTACAGGTAGCCCCTCCCTCCCATACCCTACCAACTGCCGTATCTTTGATATTGTGTTTAACTATATCCACCACTCTGGAAGATTTGACCAATCTCAATAATGTTATGCTAGGTATTGGTGCGCCAGCCACTTTCATTTTATGTTAATGCCATACTTTATGGCATCTTTATGTTTACATTTGTATTTTGTTTTATGAGCAGCGGATTTACATAAGCACAACAAGTGCTTCCTATCCAATGCTCAAAAATCCATGTGAATAAAATAAAAATAAGAACAATCTTGTAATAGAACCTACGTAAAGCCACCTGTATTAGAGCCAAATTGCCTGTGTGAAACGTAAGTCTACTTCCCTAGCGCACTCCAAAGATATCACCGTCTCCGCTTGACATCATACACCCGGTCTCCAAAGTAACCTACGTCATAGACCGACGTATAAGTATACACTGAGTAGTTAACTGTTGGAAGTCATTAAATGAACAATTTTTATATTTCCTGGTATGGTATGGATGAAATATATTGTTTCCTCGTGTTTCTCATTCTCACTCGGTCTCCATAGTAACTGACGTCATGCACAGATGTAGTTAACTGTGAATATTCATTAAATGAACAATTCTTATTTTCACTCCATGCCATGGTATGGATGAAATATATTGTTTTCCTCATGTTTCTCCATGTTTCTCCCATTTGCCTTTCTAGCTTAAAACAATTTTTCCAAAATTTAACGCAACCTTGCGTATGAAAGTCTCTAGTCAACTGGAGAATATCCACAAACCTGGTCATTCTTATTTTATTCTATAAATCCCTAATTTCGCCTGACAATTTGGCGGAACAGCGTATTTTGGATGGGGATTGAGTGAAATATACTGCATTCGCTCCCGAGCAAATGTTGGTGTTTCTAGTTTAAAACCATATTCTTAAACCACAACGGAATCTTGCGTAACTTGCTGTTTTAGAAATCCCTAATTTTGCCCGACAATTTGGCGCACCAGCTTCATAGACATGCGCGGCGGCGTACGTACGTACAGTACGTACAATTCAATAAAGATTTTTTCGGACCGACTCTAGGGAAAGAGAATTTATATAATTATATATGTCTCCATATAGGTCGCATCTATAATAACATTTTTTTTATTCCTGCGCTTCAAAGAGTTTCTCTTTATATTAGGCCACACTGACCGTTAGTTATTTGATTTTATTTCCTGAAGACCCGCAAACTAGTGCGCGCGTGCTAGACCACAGGAATACAAAGCTGGTCTTGTGAATTTGCAGTAGTACAAGCTGGCTTTATGAATCGGCACTGTACTGAGTTCTAGAGTTCCGTGGAGCTTCGCAGCCTGGGTGCCATCCTCCGTAGTTACCGCCGGCTCCCTACTGTCGCTAGACCATGGACTACGGAGGATGGCACCCAGGCCAGAGCCTCGGAGGAGGTGATTTTTATGTGAACAGGCGAATTCAATGCGCGCATGGATGTCATCCGTAAAATTAAATTTGTGTTGCCTTATGTTAAGGCAAACTCAGGTGTGAACACGGTACCATATGAAAGCTACAAGGCACCAGGGACTGTTCATTAAAGGTCCCGCCATGGATTGAGAGGACCGAAACTTGGCACCATATGCATCTGACAGCTAAAGAACTGTGCTAAATTACGCACGTCTTAGTTCACGGAAAATAGGAAAGATAAATCTCTGAAAGACTTAGCCCGCCTACACAGAAATCTGATGTATTTTGTATTTATCTTAGCCCGCCTACACAAAAATCTGATATATTTTTTTAATCAAATCGCTCCACTATTAAAATGTTCACCACTACAGCATCTGAGAGTTGAAATGAAACCACTTATGTGCTTTATATCCGTATGTATTCTAATACACATTTAGAGATGAAATATGGTGCAAAGTACGCCAAAAAGCAGTTACTCAAGCAACTGGTATCCACTAGCTTTCGTTAGTGACTGAGAGACCAGAGGAGAAATGCAGGTTTATAAGCACAACCTATTGATTGATATGCAAATAAAGTGAAGACAAATTTTGGAAGTCGAAAAAGGAACAAAAGTCAGACAATTCAAGACAAGATATGCAAATTAGACAGAAAGCTCCTGTTATACAGAACAGGAGCTTAAGTGTTGTCTGTCCTCGGGACTGGGAGTGCCAAAAATCAAGTGCCGGAAAGATCAACCCGTAGCCCCCCTTCCCTGTTGAGGGTGGGGTTGTACATTCTTTCATATATTGCCTCTGGTGCAAAGTCTTTAATGTTTCGTCGAGTGGTGGTGTCACTCCAGAACGATGATAGCACGATTTCTAAGGGAACGATCCCGTTGATATATATTCCGACATGTAATCACAAGACATGGTGATGGCACGCTCAAGGTTTTAAACGTAGGCCACACCGACTTAATTTTATGGATGACATCCGCGCGCGCATTAATTTTTGCCTGTCGCCCTCAAAAAAAAAAGATCACCTCCACCGAGGCTCTGGCCTGGCTCTAGGCCTGGGTAGTCCATGGAAGTCAGCGACAAAACGGAGCCGGGCACCCAGGCTTTCGAATTCGAAGCTCCACGACTCAAGAACTCAGTACATATGTACAGTACCGATTCATAAATGCTGCAAAAAGCCAGTTAGTGCCGGCTTGTCGTATACGTCGCTAAGTACTGTCGCGAATTCACAATACCAGCTTTGTATTCCTGTGGTTTAGTAGCATTTTTATTTTTGGCTGGAATTTTTTTATTCGCCCGCGCGCACTAGTTTGGGGGTCTTAAGAGGATGTCATCCATAAAATTAATGGCCTTTAGTGTGGCCTTATTTTCTATGCCGCCACCAACACAGAGTCAAGTCAGGAAAGTCGTGTAAAGTGCCTTTCTCTAGGACACAAGATCTTTGGCATGGCAGGGTTCGAACCCGGGACCTCTAGGTTCTGAGCCGAACAGTCTACCGTTACGCCACACGACTCCACAAATGATCCAGTTTGATCCGGCTCAGCAAAGACCCAGGCCACTTCGCGAGATGAAGTGGGCAATTTTATCCTAGTAGGAAAAGGGCCTTGTGTGGTTTCATTTACTACATGATAACTTATTCACACACATGTCCAGGCACGTGTTGATGAGAACTGCAGCATGCTACACCGTTGTAGGCATTTTTTTACTTCATAGTTCACCACAAAACAAGGCTCATGGGAGCGACTCAAAATGTTTTGGGTTACAGTACAGCCAGTGAGGACAGATGTTTGTTGACCTTAGACTTGAAGAGTTTAAGGTTATACTCATGAGGGAAACAATCACGAGGTAGCTTATTCCATAGTGATGTTGTTCTGGGAAAGAAGCTTTCAGCGTTCTCAGGCGTTCTCAGAAACAGAGACAGGTGCTAATCTCCAAGCAGATCCAGTGGGGCAAGGCCAAGGGGACTTAATGTTGGCCGCCTGGATCCATTGGCGGCCTGTATCCAACGTTCGCCCCACGTTGGATACAGACGGCCAACATAAAGGGGGGCCTGCATGCCCTTTTTCGTAAGGCGTAATCAGGCCTTTTTAGTCTTCCGCAATCCGTAGGCAGTCACCCCCAAACCAACGTAATTCGAAATAGAACATTAAGTGCAAAGCGTAAAAAGTCGTAATCAGCTCTGAGACTTAAACGTAATTCGTAATTGGTGGCGAAAATTTTGCGTAATTCGTAATCACTACTCCCCATGCAGACCCTCATAAAGTCCCCTTGCCCCACCGAATCTACTTAGAGATTAGCAGGTGCATTGATGTGAACATCCGATTGTTTTTCTAATTTTCTAAACGCACGATGATCAAAGAAGCTACATGAAGGAGCCACCCGTGTTAGGAGGCCAGCACTAGCGACCTCATTCTGCGACGACGCTTAATAAAATAATCCACACACAGCTACATTTGTATAAATGGACCAGTGCAGGTTAGTTGCATGTAGACATCAGAAATACATGCACAGCTCCAATTTTACCTGCACTAACCTGCATACACCCAGTACATGGACCAGTACAGGTTAGGTACAGGTAGACATCAGAAATACCTGCACATCTCCAATTTTACCTGCACTAACCTGCATATACCCAGTACATGGACCAGGGCAGGTTAGGTGCAGGTAGACATCAGAAATACCTGCACAGCTCCAATTTTACCTGCACTAACCTGCATATACCCAGTACAAGAACTATCAAGATTTACCCCCTTTTTTTAAGGATTGACCAGGTGACCTGTCACACCGGATAGGGAGTTTTCATTAAGTGCGGTGCAATTTTAACGAGCTCAATGTGTGGCTCTCTAACGATAGAGCGTTCGGTTTGGAACCAAGAGGTCCCGACTTCGAATCCTGCCATGCCACCGACCTTGTGCCTCTGGGAAAGGCACTTTACTCATGTGAAAACGAGTATGTCTGTTGTCCCCTCATACGTTCGTCTGCGTTGGTAGCTAGCCTCCACCAGGCCTTTCTACGGGAATACTGATCGTAGAATTCGGCAAAAAAAGAGAGTAAAATTGGCCAAGGGAGTCCAGCCGCGGGGAGGTAGTTTCTTTCCCTGCGCGGCCAGTCAAACCTACAAGGCGGCCAAACTCCCCTGGCAAATATTGTCATATATATATATATATATAGCCAGCGTAGTTAGTCTGGTAGAGACTAGTTGGTAGCGGCATAAATGTAAGTCACCATGCTTGTGATAAATGTTGGAATAAGAAAAAAAACTAAACCTAAACCTAACCACAGGACCACTTTGCCACCCAACAAACAACATAAAATACAACTTACAATATCTTGGTGTTCCTGGGCAGAAGGCGCACGACATCGTGTTGTACGCGTTCCGAGTTCAGGTTGCTGCAGTTAACGGTCAGACCCGACTCGAAAGGCGGGCGGGAGCATCGGCACCCGTGTCCCGGGCACTCCAGCGCTCCGGCCCCGACCACAGCTAGGAGGAACACCGCTTGAAATACTTGAGAAATGCGTGTAAGCTTGTTGTGCAAGCCTGGATGGCACATTATGCTACAGTGCTAGAATACGTGGTGAGCTGCCGGAGAGCTCAACAAGTATGTGAGACACCTCGTCTCACCGGTCTAGTACTAGAGTAGACTGATTGGCGAACCAGGATATACTACTGTAGAAGGAACCAGGGTAGTGGGCGGAGTCAAACCGCTCAGTGACGGCGCCGATCTGCGGTAACGTTACGTAAGACTACGTGTATGGGAGCTGCGGGGGAAGTAGAACAGGACTGATCGTTAAGAAATGATCTATGAACGTCAGTGACTCTGGGTTAGGCGGCTAAGGCCACACTGATTTAATTTTATGGATGACATCCGCGCGCGCATTGATTTTCGGCTAAAAAAAATAAATAAAAAACTCCTACTCAGAGGTTCTGGCCTGGGTGCCATCCTCCGTAGTCCATGGTAGCTAGCGACAGTAGGGAGCCAGCGGTAACTACGGAGCTAGAAGCACCCGGGCTGCCAACGTACTCAAGAATTCAGTACATACGGAACTCAAGATCTCAGTACATAGTACGTACAGTGCCGACTCATAAATGCAACAAAAGGCCAGCATCTGCAGGCTTGTCGTATATGTCGCTATGTGCTACTGCAAACTCAGAGCTTTGTATTCCTGTGGTTTAGTCGCATTTTTGGGGCTGGAATTTTTATATTCGCCCGCGCGCACTAGTTTGGGAGTCTTCACAGGATGTCATCCACAAAATTAAGACAGCGTGGCCTAACGTTGGGTATGACAAACTAAGCGTACCGGTAGCAAGCAAATTTTATGGATGACAGACTCCAAATCTAATGCGGTAGGACGAAAACAAAACAAGGTATCTATATTGGGGTATGTATTGGGGTACCAACTATTGAACTATCATGATCCGTTTCTCACTGAAATAACTTTGAAAAATAAAGGTTTTCAATCATATATATTGTACAAATGGTTTGATTCAGTGGGAACATCACATATACCGTCACACATAAAAGGAATGAAATACATCACTGCATCAAAGTAAAAGACTAAACATTAAATCAGAGCCTTGTCTTGCCTCCTCTCTTCATAGTTATCTGCCATCCACCTTCCGGCATGGCAACAGACCAGAATTCTGTGCAAAATTATGCAGAATTGGGTTAATCCCCAAAGGGTCCTCGATGACTGCTACGTCTACATATTTTTTACTTATAGTTTACAATAACAGCCCATCTAGATGTAAGATTGCTGAGATATGGAATTAGTCCGGAATTAAACTGGAAGTCCGGAATTAAACTGGAGGCTGTTGTATATATTTCGATAATCAAGCATCTGGCAGACCATTTATCTAATGTATCTATTCCTTCTCACACCTCAAACTGTTCCACCGTGTTCACAGCTATATAGAACATGTCAGACTTTAACACAACTTAACCAGTAGTGCCACGTGTAGGAACTAAACTGTACACATGTGCATGTGTGATACGTGCTAGAAGTGTCAAGGAAAGTAAGACACTGTCTCCTGGTAACCCTACATGTATATAGGATATGTCAAAACACTGCTAAATTACTCAGCGTGTGTCCAGGTTGGAATCGTGATGAGCAGACGTCACTGTCGCACTCTGCAGTAATTAGGTCCCCAAAATAGGAACGATTGCAGTCCCTGGGTAATATCTTTTGAAATCTAATTTATTTGTCTTGAAAAGGTGCGGTTTACATTTTCCTACTTTGGTCAATTTTTGTGTATTTCACCAGTTTAGTGGGCGTGGGAGAGAGAGATGGGAAGAGAAAGAGAGAGAGAAACAGAGAGAAACAGAAACAGAGCGAGAACGAGTGATAGAGACATAGCCAGAAAGAGAGAGAGAGAGAGACAGAGATTGAGAGATAGAGAAACAGAGAGGCAGAAAGAAACAGAAACAGAGCGAGAACGAGATATAGAGCCAAAGAGAGAGAGAGAGAGAAAGAGAGAGACAGAGAGAAAGAGAGAGGCAGAGTGACAGAGAAAGACAGAGAGATTGAGAGATAGAGAAACAGGCAGAAACAGAACGAGAACGAGAGATAGATACAAAGCCAGAGAAAGAGCCAGAGAGAGAGAGAGAGAGAGAGAGACAGAGAGAGACAGAGAGATCCCTGAAAGTCTTGTCGCCCCTTATTGGCCCTTATTACCTCGGCACCGTACGGTGGTCTCTACCAGACTCCTTTGCAGGCTGAATAAATAGTAGAAATCGGCAAAGGGGGAAATCATTGGCCAGAGGAGTTGGCCGGCCATAGAGGGTCCAGTTTGCCGATTTCTACTATTTATTCAGCCTGCAAAGGAGTCTGGTAGAGACTAACCGTATGGAACAGTTCCGTAGCATACAGGATCACGATAACGTAGGAAGCAGCAATGCCAATACTTCCCCAACATGCTGCGGGTTACCACCAAGGGCGCGAGGTCGACGCCATTAGCTGAAGGAAGATATAATCGAGAGCAAATCACCGGAAATTCAGACCAAATCACAGCAGGATTGTTTTGTCCTCTAGGTCATGTTGATTTGATCGTGAATTCGTGATAATATATCAATGACATCCTCTGGGAATTCCAGCGTGCGAATAAAAAAAAACAGTTCGGCACAAAGTTGCCTTTGTTACAAAATCTAGTACGTGATCATCATCAAGGTTGAACAAATGACTTAACTCACGGAGTATGGTATGGCGAATAATAATAGACTCTTCATTTTTAGTTCTTCACATTTTCTTCCTTTCCTTTGGAATTGATTTTGGCATTCTACGACATAAGCATCGTTTCCCGATATTTTTGGGGCAATTTACGGCATGTATTTGTTCATTTTGCAGCTGCTTTATACGATTTACAGTGTGATGGAAAACAAATTCATGCGCGTGGATGTTATCCATATAATAAAATCAACATGGCCCTACTGTTCAATAAGGTAAGTATTTTGGCATTTCTTTAAGATCTTGCTTAAGCTAAGGTCCCAATTGGGAAAAGGGGCCCTGGCGGGTAGTTCCCGGGCTGTTTTTTTTACCACTTTCAGGCGGGACCCCGACGTGGCCCCGCGGGGCACTCTGCGGCTACCGGGCTATTTTTTGGCCCGTCGGGGCCCCGATAAGAATTTAATTCTGAGTTAAATTCTACCCGGGCCCCGCTGACAAAAAGACGCCGAGACCTCATCGTGAGAACACCGAGAGGTACCCCTCCGGTTGCCGGCATTCCACCGGGACACATTTCTTACGTCACAGACCAGATGAAAAGAATAAAGGTGTGTACTTCGTAAACCCGGGTAAAATGTGTGACCTCACAGATCAAATGATCACAACAAATACGTGGATTCTGCATTACGTATAGGTCAATACAAGTCATCGTCAGAGAATCTGCTGGGTACCTACCGGGTGCCTGCCGGATACCGACCAAAGAGGGTGACAAAATTTCTAACAAAATGCTACTGAAGGAAACTTTTAATTGTGACCACGACAGCCGATGCCCGCCCGACTCCTGAACCCGGCAGGGGCCAGCCGGGGCTACATCCCCGACGGGCACCGGCGTAATTGGGACCTTAGCTTTAACAGGTCAGTGACTCTTCAGCTTGATTAGAATTCAAACGGCTCGTACAGGTGCCTCAAAGCGATTCAGCTATTGATGTTAAACGGTCTAAAATTGGGTTTGTGTATGGACGTACAGTAGCCTGGTTACCAGTTCCTGTTTAGCTCTGTTTTCTGGATAGAATGAAAGAGACTCGGCAACTAAAATACGTTTGGTAACCAGGCCAGTTTGTTACCTTCGCCAAGAAGGTTATGTTTTCAGTAGCGTTTGTCTGTGTGTGTGTGTGGTGGGTGGGTGTGTTTGTGTGTGTGTGTGTGGTTTAGCAAGATAACTCGAGAAGCAGTGGATGGATTGGAATGAAACTTGGTAGGTAGGTAGGACTTCATTAGACCTAGAAATGATTAGATTTTGGGCCCCCTGGCGGCTTTGCTAGGTACTGCAGCTGAACTTCCGGTTTTGATATCTCATGTTCTGGACATGCTAGGGTCACGAATTTTGGTTGGTAGATAGCTCTTGGGGTAGGGAAGAAGTGACATGAGTTTGGGTCCCCTAGCGCCTTGTTCTGGAACTGCAGGGGCATTTGTTGAAAAAAAATTGAAGGACGATAACTCAAGAACCGGTTGACGTATTGTCGTGATTTTTGGTATGTAGGTAGTTGAAGTGATGTTTGACATAATCAGATGGCAATTATGCAAATCAGGAGCTAATTTGCATAATTAATGAGGAAATTCTATAAATCTGATTTGTTCGATAATAGAACTATGAAACAGTTGTGACATCTACTTGAGAACGAGAAAAACATCTGAGGATATAGATTATGTAAATGAGGACCTAATTTGCATAATTAATGGCAAATTCTTATAATTCCATAGTTGTAACTGCTGCACCCCGAATTTCATACTTGCTACATTTGGAAGTTAAGTGAAGGTGAACATTAATAAACATAATTTATTCAAATCATGACACCATTTGCATAATTTATGAGGAAGTGCTATAATAGCCTCTTTGTTATGATAAGGCTGTCATTGGGTGGAGAATATGATCAACTGATATAATCCATGCAAATGAGGCTCTTATTTACAAAATCAATGATTAAAATTGTAGAATTCGTCACACGCAAGGGTTAACATCTTTTGGCGAAGGTATGAGATCGTGGAACTCTTGTTGTAGTCTGTAGTAGGTTCCAATCCTATCAAAGAACACTGCAGTTTAGGTGGTTCTTCTAGCCTCTACCCAGCTTCAGGAGGCGGCTGGAAAGAGTAAAATTGACCAAATAGAGAGGTAACAAGCCAGGGGACTTGTTTGAGGGCTTTTTCAAACGCTTCAAGTATGAAATGATGCCGAATATGTGCTAAGAAATGGCAAAAAATGTCGCAATTTTTTTCTTATCCAGTATATTTTTTGTTTGTTTTGCATCCCTGAAATTGCACTGGATGCATTTATTTAAATCAAGAACGTTTTACAAGCTAAAAGGTCACTGTCCGTTCATACCCGGATAATCATGGAAATAATATTACCCAGGAGCCTCACTACCATATACGGTATGGTAATTCCGCGATTCTGAGAAAAAAATTAGGGTTAGAGAGAAAATTGGATAGTTGACCTAAAAAAGAATGATGCCGACTTGGGTGGTACCTGAGGTGGGTATGGCTATCGTTACTGATCACGCCACTTTAAATTTCCGTCTCGTAAGGTATCAGGACATTTCGGCACCTGGACACTTCGGCACCTGGACACTTCGGCACCATCTAGGACGGTTCGGCACCTAGCCCAAAACGGCTCGGTACCTTGCCCATGACAGTTCGGCACCTGACCCAGGATGGTTCGGCACCAAGCCGCCAGTGTTGTACAACAATAAAAGCAATATGGAAGGGGCAGTGTTGTGGTCCAAAA